TATATATATTATATATATATGTTGTGCGAGAGAAAGACGTTTGCACATGTGGCCTGCAAAAGCAGATCTGTTCCCCCGAGACTTCAAGCTACAGCACCAATTTCCTTGCAGAAATTCACTTACTTGTCTGGATATGTCACTACAAATTTGAGAGGCTGGGGACAGAACAGACTAAATAAGAGTAAATGAAGAGAAATAATGTCTCTGCATGTTTGATGGGATATTTTAGGCTTCCTATAGGCTGGTATTGCAATGTGGCTCTCCAATTATAAACTACTGCCCTTTCACCCACAGTGAATGGGTATCAAATTGGAGAGCATTGACCCCTAAGATAATGGCAGTGTTCTTTTCCGTGTAATCTGATTTATGCTGGATGCTGACTTCTAAAGCTCATTGATATCTATCAGTATGCAAAGGTTACACCCCCTCCCATCACATTACGCATTTTGTTGATTTCTACATGGAAAGTTTTGCGTGCTCTGAAATGACAGCTTCTGCATGGAAGATACCAAAGTGTGACAATCTTTTTAGATTTTAATATAGAATTACTTTTTATTTGTGAGTTGTATTAAGAATTAGAGGTGCACCGAAATGGAAATTTTAAAACCGAAACAAAACCAAAATAAAAAAAAATGTCAGGCCGAAACCGAAAATGTTTTTTTTATTTTTTCAAATTTTTCAAATATTTTATTTTTATTTATTTTTTATAAACGTTTTATTTTTTTAATATTTTTATTTATTAATTCATTTTTTATTAAATATTTTTATTTTTTACTTTACTTTTAGGGGCTTAGGGGAAATATTGGGGGTCTAGACCCCTGATATTTCCCTTTTAAAATAGAAAAAGAGATTGAGAACCAAAAGTCCTCAATCTCTTTTTGTGTCCCCTGTTATCAATGGACAGGAATCCTCTATGAGTGTTCCTGTTCATTGATAACATGAGAACATTGTTTACTATAACTACAATTATGAATGAACAGGAGGTGATGTAGATCACTCCCATTCATTCATAATTGAGGATATAGTTAACATACCGTATCCTCAATTATGTACAAACACTCAGCGACCACTGATAGCTGAGTGTTTGCTCTCGCTCTCCTCTCTGACACGCTGTCACAGGAGGCCGATCGAGCGGTGTAGGGAGGAAAGCCCAGCCTTCTGTGACAGCACTGTCTCTGCCCCCACACCGCTCTGCCGGACTGTGATAGGTGGCACAGCGGTGTGGGAGGAGACGCCGGACGCTCACAGCGCTCTCCACCGCAGTGCTCGGCCGGCTGTCACTTTCTCTCCTCCCCGCTGGGACACAGAGCAGCACCCAGCGGGGAGGAAAGAAATCAGGGATGCGCCGATGTATTGGCAGGAAAATGGCACTTTCGGCATTATACCAAAAGTGCCATTTTCGGCCGATATATCAGTGCATCCCTATTAAGAATTATTGAAAATGTATGTGTAGATGTTAAAGAAATAGTTAAGTAAAGATTACCTAGAGTTGACCATACAGACCACAATGGGATTGAACAATCTACAAGCAAATTTAGATCTGCCAATCACTATGTAGTCCAAGGGCCTCTCCTAACATTACATACAGATGAATCTAAAGGGAATTGTAATGACATTGTACAATCAGATTCCAACATATATGGACATTTGTTTGTAAAATTAAAGCCTTTTGCAAGAGAATGAGAGAACATTCCTAAGCAAAAATATTAGCTGGTTGCAGAAATATATTATATTTGTTGCTTGCAGAAATTGAATGCATTTGCTTAGTTACCCAAGCTTTTGTATCCAAGTGCATGTCCACATTCTGGTCAAGACAACGTGAACCTAATTGTGTCTGGTGCGAAGGAGCAATATTTTTTAAGCCTGTCAAAATTCAAAATCTACATTACAATTTGCAAAAATATATTACATTTGATTTTCTTAAAGTTACCCAAGCTTTTGTATACAGGTGTATGACCGCATTATGGTCAGGACCTAGTGAACTTGATTGCTTTCTTGTGCAAAGAGCATTACTTTTTTTAAGCAAGCCTGTAAGTAGCTTGAAGCTAGGTTCACACCTGCACTACACTGCACGACACACGGGACGTGCGTCCTGGGGCTGCGCGATCATGTGCTAGTGCACACTGCGATTACTGCGCGGCCCCATTGATTTCAATGGGGTGACATCCGCACGGCGATCGCAAAAAAAAATTACAAGTACCTTTTTTTGCGACACACGTTGCACAGCATTTTTAGCTCGATCCGCCCAGTGCGACTGGGGTGCCAATAGAAAATAATGGCACCCACAGCTCGATCGGTTCGCACCTTGTCAACTCCCGACCATGCGGCAATCGTGCACAAAACTGCATGGATTGCCGCGCGGTCAGGAGTCGCCTAGGTGTGTACCTATCTTGAAGAAGGCTTCCTGTGTTTATTTAATAGCTTTTATTTGCTACCTTAGAAGCCTGCCTCTGCTATGTATTAGTTGCGTAATGTAATGGAAGATCTTCGAGAGGTCTTTAAGCATTTAGCATGTTTGGTCTAGGGTTTTTAGTCCGTGCAGTAAGAACGGGCAAAGGTAGCATGCCACAGAATTACTTTGCTTAGCATTACCATTAGTGTAACTTAAACATGCGGTATAAAGAGTGTCATTTCAATTCAAAATGACATGGTGTTAAGGGCACAGCCTTCATTTATCTAGTAGAGCCATTGCCGTGGTTGGCAGGGTTTCAGGGTGTTTGGTTACACTAGTAAATCACTTGAGTGAGCTTTATAGAGCATTGTTCACTTCTGGAATGAAAGTCATTTCATATCATTTATTTGCTGTCATCTCTAATTTGTCAGGTTTCCTTCCGTGAAGAAGAAATTTACGGCTGAGTTGAAAGAGCTGAGGCACAAAGAGCAGAACCCGTATGTGGTTCAAAGCATCATCAGTCTTATAATGGGAATGAAATTCTTCCGCATAAAGATGTATCCTGTGGAGGACTTTGAAGCCTCCCTCCAGTTTATGCAGGTATTCTTTCTTATTGGTTGTGACAGATTATAGGGGGTGACACTGAAGACTTATTTCCCATGGTAAAGAATGGATCTATGCAGGATCTTTTCATACATGATAGAACATAAACAAAATATTTTGCTGACCATTTGTAACTCAGGATAAGGAATCAGATTTCCTCACTAGGGGCTTTATTTCATAACACAGTACAAAGGGTAATGGTAACTGTAACATAATCAGACCAGTTGGATTATATTTGTATAACTGCACTAAACGTCTGAAATTTGTGATTGGTGGTTGTGTGTTTCTGCACATCATTATTATTTAGAACATTTTATTCAAAAAAGCCCTTGATAGAATGGCATGTGACATCAGATATTTTTATTTATGGCTTCCATCCACTCTATGGGCTTCAAATGAAACCTATGACTTTGGATGATGTTTTATACCTGTTTTTTTCTACATTATGAAGAGAAGGCAGCACAGGTCTCATGTTTTTTTTAATTTGTTAACGGTGTAGGCAACCCACAGACTGCTCCTTAGAAATCTGTTTATATAGAAAAAGGTCCAAAAAGGACGCTTGTAGAATTTAATTAAATTAATCACTGGTGCAGGTTACAATAAGCCTGATGATGCTGTTTAAAAGCTTTAGCCACTTGTGAATAAATATTTTAAAGTGGTTATGCTTTCAGAAATATTTTTATGTTTTTTTTCTTTTTTGCCCATGGAAGAGGAAATCTTTAACATTCAGATTATAATGCTGCTTACAAGAGGGTTGGCTACGGACAAACATTGGAACTGTAAGCCAGCCCAGGATAACCCCTTCTACCCCAACCTCTCCAACTACTAATCTCATGTCAGTACATATGCATAGGGCATGTTAAGGTGCTGGACTGCAGAACCCCTAATAAAAAAAGTGTTTGATTTGCGTTGCTTTTGGGGAATAGCATCTCTTCGGACAGGCTCCTGATAACTGGAGGCAAGCTGGAGGCCATCTTTTTCAGTCGTAGAAGCCTAAGCCTATTTGTCTCCAGGTACAGGAATCCTGCTGGATGTGGCTCCATGGGATCCGTACAGCCTGATATATGCATTTCTTCCCCTGAAACTTTGTCCTGGTCTGTTTCTCAGGATCGGGTGATCCTCATTACACTGGACTGGCCCAGGCAAGTGTAATAAGTTGATGCAGTAAGACTTCTGGCAGACTCTTCATGTGCACTGTCAGATCATCCGGATCTTCTGTCCCAAGAGCTGATTTGCCATCCTGCTTCACTGACTCTAATGGCATGGCTGTTGAACCTGGGTTTTGATGGACAGCAGCTGTAAAACCTATGATGCTGAAAGCTAGGAAGTCTACCTCCTGCAAGGTCTATCATCGGACATTGAAAGCATACTTCACTTTTTTTGTGAGTTCCCGGGCTTCCACCCCATTAGTTTCTCCATTGGTCAAAACCTTCCTGCAGCTGGGTCTGGGGCAGTGTTTGGCTCTCAGCACTATAAAGAGCCAGTTTCCTCCTTTTCTATCCTGTTCCAGAAACCGTTGGCCTGAACCTAGTTCTCTGGCCCATTTTTTACTGTCACCCACAAGATGGGGTTTCTTGTAGCCATCACCTCTGTGAGGCAAGTGGCTGAACTGGTGGCCTTATCCTGCAAATAACCTTTTCTGGTTTTGCATTGGGACAAGGTGGTGTTGAGACACAGAATTTACCTAGGGTAGTTCCAGTCTTTCGCCTCAACCAGGACATTTTTCTTCCATCCCTCTGTCTGGCTCCAGTTCACTGAAAGGAAAATGTTATCTTTTTTCTGGATGTGGTTGCGGTTGTTGGAAAGAATCAGTGCTTTTTTCAGAAAGCCTGATCCCTTTTTGTCATCCTGGAGTGACCCTGAAAGGGCCCACAGACTTCTCATTGCACCAACTCTGGCTCAGACAGACCATCATCTAAGCTAATGGTCTAAAGGATTGGATTAATTATTTCTTGTCATGACACGCTCTACTAGATCTCTGAATGCTTATTAGGCTTTTTGGCATTAAACAATATTTTTCCCGATCTGCTAGGCTGTTTGGCCTCATCTAATGCCAGCTTTGAGCGAAAAGGCTCTTCAGGCGACTTTTTGAGCTGCAGGCAGTCCCCAGTTCTGTTATATTTTTCTTGTGCCTGTTAATGTTTGTTTACTATGTTGCCCAGCCCTCAGTTAGACTGCTTTTGGATGCCACAAAGGATTAAGACTTCATGTGTCCCTTAATAGTTTAGAAAGAAAATGGGATTGATGTACTTACCATAAAATCCTCTTCTTGGAGTCCAGTGAGGCATGTAGGTCCCACCCATCCGTGTTTATGATCATGCTCTTAGTACTGCTTTGCAACAAAACTGAGACATACTTGATAGTAGGAGGCGTTCTCCCGGGCTGGCAAAGGTGTTTGTGTTTTCCAGTGTCTAACATGACAAAGGATTCCCGGAGCTCTATGTAATCTCTCTAAAGAAAAAGCACTGTAATAGATGCCTCACTCCTGTCTAATAAAAAAAAAGCTTGGACTGAACAATAAATAGAGAGGAGGATA